CCTCCATTGCTCATGGCTGCTGGGATGAGGAGGAGGCAGGGAGTGGGGAAGAGGAAATCCCACTGGTAACAGATAGGCCTAAACTGGTAGGAAATGGCGCAGGGATGACGTTGGACTGTCGCAGTTCTGAGACAGTGGATTTCTGTTTGGAGAACAGGTATCAGCTTGGCCATCAAGGGAGCTGTTGTGTTATGGGATCTGGGGTCTGTGCTCAGGGCTCTGGGATGAGGAGGAGGCAGGGAGTGGGGAAGAGGAAATCCCACTGGTAACAGATAGGCCTAAACTGGTAGGAAATGGCGCAGGGATGACGTTGGACTGTCGCAGTTCTGAGACAGTGGATTTCTGTTTGGAGAACAGGTATCAGCTTGGCCATCAAGGGAGCTGTTGTGTTATGGGATCTGGGGTCTGTGCTCAGGGCTCTGCCCATACAGTTATGCAGATACAACGAAGATGTTTCAGTGCCTGGAACCACAATCCAGATTGCATGGGATCGAGAGAAATCCTGGTGATAGAAACAAAGCAGAATTTTGAAGGCAAAACTGAGAGCACAGAGGGACTGGTAAAGTATGCAGGACGAGAAGTGCTGTGAGGAGTAAACAAGAAAGGGCATGTAGGCTGTGGGCAGGCCTAGGGGAAGCCGTGGGAGGGCAGTGAAGAGAAATGCACACATGCAGCAGACAAAGTGATACAAGTCAAGATCAGAAACAGAACAGAACGAGGCAGGCAAACAGAAATGGGGAAGGCACAAAGCAAAGAAACAAGAAAAGTGGAGTGACTCATGAACCGCAAAGGGAAGGAAATTGAAGAGATTGTACATACCAGCTTGAACTGAATGCTGGTGTCCCAGTCTTTTTGACTATTGTTAGTAATAATTATTTATATACTGTTTTCCAATAGTATTTATCAGGATTTCCCAAGCATGGCAAAATACTCTGTCTTTCATAGTACCAAGGAGAAAAGGGGACAAAACCATGAAGCAAGATCAGAATGTGCTGGTAGGCTCAGCCTAGTGGGAGTTCCTGTACGTTCATTCCATCAGCAGTGGGAGTTCCTGTACGTTCATTCCCAAGAAATTAAATACTAGTACCCATTTCCCATAAAAAGCTGTAATTAACTCGGGGAACAGCAGTAGCCAATTATGGAAAGAGCCATGTCTGTCTTTGGCTACTTGATGCAGGTGTTCAGTGAGACTGTAAGCAAAAGGCAGGGATGCACTGCAGAGTCTGAATTCAGTCAGTGCTGTGGTGTAGTTTGGTTCCCTGCGCAGCACGAGAGCTGTGCAATATTTAGAGAACACCCAGTACATTTTTTGAAAGCAGTGTAACCACAGACTATATCAGCCCTGGCTTCCTTTTGGTGCATAGCTGATAGTCCAAAATGATTTGATGACAACTTACACATCACAGACTTGCTAACAGAGCCCCTCTGGCTGCATTGGTATGGTACAACCTAGAAATAATTACTACCTTCCCAATGAGATCCCAACTCCACTTCAGGGCGAGATCTGGTTGCACAATATTCTTGCACCCTGATTTTCATACTGAAGACACCTGGATGTCTGTAGACATGACCTGCACATGCAGATCTCTGCCTCTAAGGACCACCACAGCTGGAATTATTTTTGTCTCACACACACTTAACCTGGTTACTTCTGATTCCACTTCTTACCTCTGCCCTGCAGCATTTTTTCATCATCCTGCCCATTTTCTGTTCAGCCCTAGTGTGACTTCAGGCAGTTTCAGCAGTGCAGTGAGGGCTGCAGTATGCCAGTTTGTTTTACACACATGTTAAAACCATTTTCTAGGTATTCAAAACATCCAATTTGCCCAAAGTTGGTTCCAGCTATATAAAATAACAGGAGAAATAAAGGGGGAAAACCCAATTGTTCAACTTGCTGCCTAATGGGCTTCTATTTCAAGTTGGTTTTCTACAGTAGTGTAACGTGGAAAAAAAATAACAGAAACTTTTTGCATCCTCCTCTTTCTAAAAAACCACTGTGCACCCAGAAAAGGGGATGGTGTGCTCTGTGGGTGGGACTAGATAGATCATGACAGAGGAGCTGGTTTGCTTCAGCCTGATGAAAGATGATGTAAAACACTTCTTTGCTGTGAGGAGGTCTCTGAAAGGCAGGTGGGTGCCTTCCCCTTCTCCAGGCACTCCCAGGGAGAAAACGGTCAGCAGG